ATCACCAACCCATGTGATATGAAAGAGCAAAGGACTTTTACTAAACTCACATGTTCTACTGAAATCTTGATGGGGTACATTGTTAACATGGATCCGATATCAATGAATAATACTATTTTGAGATTATAGATCTGGAATAGATGTATTTAAGAAATAGATCTAGAATCCTATACTTGCCTAGAAGTAACTTGCTACCATAACTTTTATGGCAGAAAATACACTCCAAATGATGACTTTTCCATTTTCCTTTTAGTAAAATTCTTTTACTAAATAAAAGCAGAATTGTGCATCTTTCATTCATTACTGCAGCCATTTATTAAACAACTCTTTATTGGATATTTAGTACACACGGAGCAATGGAAAACACACTGAGGATGTAAAGATGAGTACAACACCATCCCTGGCCTCAGGGAGTATTTTGTGTAGGTGGGAAGGACAATGCCAATGGACATTTAAAACATAACCTGCTCAGAGCCAGGCACGGTGGCTCACACCTGTAATTCCAGAACTTTGGGAGGCTGAGGTGGGTGGATCACGAGGTTAAGAGATCGAGACCATCCTGCCCAACATGGTGAAACCCCATCTCTACTGAAAATACAAAAACGTAGTCAGGTGTGGTGGTGCATGCCTGTAGTTCCAGTTACTCAGGAGGCTGAGGCAGGAGAATCTCTTGAACCCTGGAAGCAGAGGTTGCAGTGAGTCGAGATCGCACCCCTGCACTCCAGCCTGGTGACAGAGCGAGACTCTGTCTCAAAAAACAAACAAACATAACCTGCTCAGTTCTGTGAGAGCCGAGAAGGAGCACTTCATACAGATGACGATTCAGGGCCCCTAAATGAAGGAATATCTGAAGAATAATTAGACAGTGTAGTTAGTTTTCACCCAAAAGGGGTATTCTGGACAGTCATTCCAGTTCATGCAGCAAGTTCAACATATTATGATGGCAGACAGAGAAATTGGAGTCAGATTCGATGTGCTCACCTAAGTCATGCTAAAGTGATGGCTGTTACTGTGAAGTCAATGAGGAACCTCTGCAGGATTTCAATATGTTTAAAATTGAGTTTTATAAATATTTTCCCGAACTGAAGGTAGACAGTATGCAAAAATGTACTGATGTTAGGAGAGTGAATCACAGAACTGCAAGGGGGAAATAACAGAAACCCTAAATAAAATAATGGCTGCAGAGGTGAAGATTTATTAAACTGGATTCTACTGTTTGGGAAACAAATCTAAGATTATTCATTAGGCAAAAGCACAAAAGATTACTTTATTTTACATTGATTCTCATATCGTGAGATTGCTCTCCTATCATTAATGCCGTCAAGGCCAAAACTCAACAATTATCGTCAAGCAATAAAGGAGTTCCTGTTTTGTCCTTTTCAGGTATTATTTATAAGAGGTATGCTCTCTTCTTAACCTAAGCACTATGACTCTGAAACACCAAAATCATTAATACTTATTTTTTTCTGAATTCCCACAAGGCAGTAAAAGATGTGATGCTCTGAAAAACTGTAACAAGGAGTCACTGTAGATCATATTTTTGCTTAAAAAATTAAAATTAAATCTAATAATTATGATAAAAAGTAGAAAAACCATAAAGAGATATATGATGTTAGCAAAGAGAGTGATCTTGTAGTTAACTTCAAAATAACTACCAATTTATGCATATAATTATTTTCAACTCTTAATAATGTTCTCAAAAGTTGAGGAGTTACTAAAACAAGTGGACAAAATGCTGATAATTATGGAAAGTGGATGGTGTATAAATGGGGGTTCACGATACTAGTTTTTCTACTTTTGGAAGTGTTTGAATTTTTCCATAAAATGAAGTTTTAAAAAAAGTATTTTGATAATATTGTGTGGTAAGTATCTATAACTGGAAAATAAAATTTATTTTAATTTTATTATATTACTTGATAATTTATTTAGCCTCTGGATTTTTGGGTCTGTGAAATTCACATGGTAAGTTTCCATTATAAGGCTCTATCTAAGGTCTTAAAAATACTCCCCAAAATCTCTTCTACTGAAAGTAATTTACAGTAAGGATACAGTGAGCTTCAATTTAATATGATAATAAAAAACATCATCTTTTTCTGTCTTAGTAACTTGCTTGAAGGGAATTATTTTGTGCGTGAGATAGTGGTTGACTTAATGAAATACACCATTTTACATTTACATATTTATTTAAGTTCCAACTTGTTTCAAATTATTTGATGTGGCCCATAATGTATACTAGAGTAATCTCTTATCCTAGAAGAAATGTATATCCCAAAATAAAATAATTGAATCCTAGAGAGTAATTTTCACAAAGAACTAAACATATAATTGCATTTCACATTTTGCTTACTAATGAAATTTTCAAAATGGTAGATTTATTTCTTTTATTTATTTATTTATTTTTGAGACAGAGTCTCGCTCTGTCATCCAGGCTGGAGTGCGGTGGCCCGATCTTGCCTCACTGTAAGCTCCGCCTCCCAGGTTCATGCCATTCTCCTGTGTCAGCCTCCCGAGTAGTTGGGACTACCGGCGCCCGCCACCACGCCTGGCTGATTTTTTGTATTTTTTTTAGTAGAGACGGGGTTTCACCATGTTGGCCAGGATGGTTTCGATCTCCTGACCTCGTGATCTGCCCTCCTCGGCCTCCCAAAGTGTTGGGATTACAGGCGGAGCCACCATGCCTGGCCTATTTCTAATATTTTTAGGTCAAAAAGGCTTACAGAAAAATTCAAAGTGAAAGTTGGTTTAATTAAGACCAAGAAGGAGAAGATGCTGTGAATTAATTTTTTTGTCAGAAAACATTTCAAATACAAACTAAACAGCCTAAGAATTGTAGACTCAGTAGTAGTTAACACAAATGACCATCCTGAAACGGATTCTGCGAGTGGTAAGCCTTGTTGTACACTGGAAGAGAGAGGTAAATGACCAGCCACCTTCTTCTTGAGGCCTGGAAGATTCAAATAGCAGTTCTCCATTTTCCAAATTTATCATCAGGAATGAAAGTAAAGCAATATTGAAATAACGCCCAAGCCATATTAGAGAAAGATCTCAGCACTGATGATAAATTGATCAGGCTTTCAATAAATTGCGAGAATTTTTGTTTGGCATTCAGAAAGCATTTCTCATAGAAACAATTTTTCATATGGTGGTTTGGACCCCAGAAAAGCCCACAGACCTCTTTAGCATGTCATATGTACAGACAATGCTAAAGGCGTACAATGCCAGTGTACTGCAATACTCTCCTCTTACCCTAGGAGTAAAGCTCAAATCCCTTGCCCTATCCCATGATGTCCTTCATGAGGCATCCTCTGCCTCCTTTCAGGCCTCACCTCACACCACTCTCCCCTCACCATCTGTGCTCCAGTCACACTGGTCTTCCACAAGATTCTTGAAGAAGTCAGATTTATTCTCACCTTAAGGCATTTGCCTAAGTTGTCTTCTCACTTAGAATGCAATTCTCTGACTCCTTCTCCTCCAGACATTAAGAAAAATGTCACTGGGTGCACCTGCTTAGTAGACTCAGCCTAACTGTGAAAGCTACTCTGACACCCAATGTAGATTAGCCACCTAATCATTCTATTAAACATGTTATCATGTTTCCATTCTTTGCATAGCTCAAAAAAACCTACCACCTGATATTCTCTTGTTAATGTCTTTGTGCATTCTATGTGTCCCCCAGCTAATATGTAAGTTTCATAAGAGGAGAGTTCTTGTTCAACATTGCCTTCAGTAGCCTGAAACAGTGACTGAAAATAGTAGATCTTCAATGCATGAGTGAATGAATTAAAGAATAACTCTACAGGACTACTATATGCAGTAATAGAGACTCTAGCTGACATCACTGGAATATTTGCTCAGATTTGTGTCTCAAGGAGATAGGACTACATCTTCTGTTTCATCACTGATGGTTTCAAGGCACTAGGGTTGTCTTCCCAGCAATCTGGGATAAGGTAACCAGTGTTAAGAGGCATGGCACTGAATCTAGGAGGTGGGTTGATGTGAGAATTACGAATGGCACTGAGACTTAATGAATAGGGGTGGTAGAGACTCTAAGGTAGGTCTTTCTCCCCTTCACATTTTGCCTCCACCACATTCTCCCTTTTCTCCCGTTCATTCTCACTAAACAAAGGCTTGGCCAGGAAACAAGCCTGGCCAGCAATATTAATTGGTCATTAATAGATATATTTTTCTTCTTCCTTCTTCTCTCCTGTCATTTCTCTATTCTCTTCTTCTCTTTCTTCTTCCCTCTCTCCTGCCCCCAATTTTTTCCATCCTTCACTATCTTCTCTTACAACTTCCATTTGGTTCTGGGTGTGGTGAAGTTGGAGACCACTGCACCAAGCCCAGTGCCTGTCATGCAATAGGTACACAGGTTACACTTGTCGACTGACTGACTAAATGAATGAATCAATGAACAGATTCTGTTCTGCAGTCAGTGGAATTCTAGAGAGCATATTTTCCTAGATTATTCCAGTACATGCCAAATGGGACAGTCTAAAGCTTTGCCTAAATCAAGATGGATTACTTCTCTGGCTTCCTCTAGGCACTAACAGATCTGCTGCTTGACCACTGACAGGAATTTCATTAATTGGGTGTGATGTGTTTTTTTGTGGAGCTGACAGAATGTATTAGAAACTCAATTTTAAGAGACTTAAAAATGAAATAATCCAAATAGGAAACACTGTGAATTCCATTGTTTTGAAGGACAATTTGTAACATGAATAGGTAATGTGTACTCCTATGGACAAATTCCTAAATTTATTTATTATTTTGGTTAGAATACAATATCTTTTTGTTTTCAAGAGGGGTACTAGAATCTTTCAGTAGATGCCTAGATACTGCTGTTGTCTTTTCTAATAGCCGCTAAGAGATATAAAATTCAGTGATAAAGTTTAGTGGCACGGTTGATTGTTTTTATTTCAGAAATGATTTGCCCCTGTGAACTCATTTACAGATTTGTTTAGATAGCATTCTTCAACATGTCTATTCTTTCTATTTTCCAGTGCTGTTGAAGAGGAGTTGCTGGCTCAGCAGGCCTCTTTGTCTCTGTTCTCATGACAAGGACATATCACCTAACTCTGGGCTCTGGCTCACTTAGCAGCTTCTTTGCCGTTGGACTCTCACATCGAGATGTCACCTAGCAGCAGCCTTTCCCAGGAAGTTGTTAAGGAGATGGGAATCCTCATGCCTGCTGCTTTTTCCCAAATAAGAGGCAGCCTGGGAGCCAGTTGCAATAAAGTCTTGCCAGTAACGTTTCTCTTAAGAACGGGGAGAAAATACTATGAAAAGTCACATTTACTTTGATCTAGAATTAAGTAAATTTTGGTGTTTGGGTCTTTGGTAAAATGTCACAAGTGGGAAGTCAGGACTCACATGATGTCCAGGCTTCTTTCTATGAGAATTATTTTTAGTTTCTCTTGGTATGCTTGGGTTTCATATTATATCCCCCAACCCCACCACCCGTAAATAAAGGAGAACGAAAAAAGGGAGAAAGAAGTTTAGGAACGGGAGTGGCCCCTGCAGTTGTCTGCTTGGCATCCAGCCTGCCTTGGTCCGTGGCAGCCTGTGGTCTGGGTGGGCGTTGCCCCTCGTCACGTCCTGTGGGGAGCTGTGATTGGCTCACGCTCGTCAGGGCAGCCCCACCCCCTGGGCAAGTGGCTCAGTTCAAACTCATGAGATGTGAGCTTTGGTCACGAAGGCCCGTGCTTCTCTTTCGTGCTTCTCTTTAGAAAAAGCTACTCAAAGAAATGATCGCTTCCCGGATGTTGTAGTCCACGAATATTATGTCTGGAACATCAGAGCCATCTTGTCTCCATGATGGGAGTTTCACCTAAAGACAAAGCCAAAACCCAGCAGAGGACACAGCTGAAGGAACACGAGAAAGTGGCATGGAAAGACTGAAGCCCCAGCACCGGCAGACCTCAGTTATTGGAGCCAATCAACCTCTTGTTACTGTTGAAGTGAGTTTGGAAAGTGTTGTCAGAGACCCACAGCAGAAAACAACCCAAACAGTGGATGTTTTAACTGAGATTAAAATCCTGTTTTAGGTCAGGTGGGGTGGCTCACTCCTGTAATCTCAGCACTTTGGGAGGTCGAAGAGGGAGGCGCGCTTGAGCCCAGGAGTTTGAGACCAACTGGGCAATATGGCGAAACCCTGCCTCTGCAAAAAATACAGAAATCAGTCGGGCATGGTCACACACGCCTGTAGTCCAAGCTACTTGGGAGGCTGAGGTGGGATCACTTTAGCCCGGGAGGCGGAGGTGGCAGTGAGCTGAGATCATACCACTGCACTCCAGCCTGGGCCACTGCACTCCAGCCTGGGGGACAGAGCAAGATTCTGTCTCAAAAAAACGAAAAAAGAAACGAAAACAAACCAACAACAAAGAACTGTTTTAACTTTTCATTTGTCAGTAACAGTAATCATAAAGACTTGCCCAAATGAGTCTACAGAAACGTTTTTGTTTCAAAGGTAAACCCTGCCTTGAGTGGATCATTATTTAACATTTGATAACTTTGACACAGAATTCTGCACATCATAAAAATACTTTTTAATTGAGTTATTAGGTATATCTCAGTTTTGTTCTTAAAATAAGAATGTATTTTATCTAATTCTAAAGTCATTGTACCAGGCAACCACAGATAAAGTCAGAACATTTCAACAATTATTGAAGCTACGTCTAGAGGTCAATAATTATAGTATTAGTTTATTATTTTCATTGTCCTTTCTCGAGACCTTTTAGGAACTTTGTTTTGTCTTGACAGAATTAAGTAGCAATCTTCTTTGGAAATAACTATGAAAAATCAATAAGTCCATTACAGCAGTTTCTATTCATAAAAGAACAGTGGATAATAGTTACCGTAATAAAAAAACATTAAAATATATGTTTTATAAGTAAATGGTCAAGAAGTTTAAAACATCTGTTTTCTTACTTTTATAGGAAATAAAAGATCGCTGGGGAAAGAAGTCATAAATCCCTAATTTAATTGAAGTATTGTCAATAATTGAAATCAATTAAAGATTTAATTGCCTCCTACTCTGTGATGCATTTGTGTGCATTATTGCTCTTGAGGTGGGAGGAAAACCTGACCAAGTAGCCTTACGGAAGTTACTTAATAATTCATTTTTTCAAAGGTGGTCAGAACACTCAGTGAGATAAACTTTAAGGATAGCAAAACTGAATTACACATGTCTGTTTTGGGTAATCTTGACTAATTTTCTTAGTTTATTTCTTCTTTTCTCTGGAAAATAAGATTAGTAGTCATAACATGAAACTCTGGCTTACATCTGGGTTCTTCTATTGCATTTCATTTTCATCTCATGAAAAATGTTGTATAAAGCATAATGCATTGCTCTTCTCAGGCCTAGAGGTGCAAGGATATTATCTAGCTGAGCAAAAGTAGTTTTGGGTATTAATTAATGTTTGTTAAGATGTCAAAGAAACTCTATTTTTGCTTTCCTCTACTGTAGCTTCATTCATAAATGTGTTTTGATTGTAATTGATCTGCATGCCTTCTCCCTTACACTGCTCAAGCTGATAATATTCAATATAGTTAAAAATTCATTATAGTTACTGTAAATTCAATATAGTTATTATAAAATCAATACAGTTTAAAATATTCAATATAGTTTTTTTAAAAGTACATATTAAGTTCAGGTGCTATGGCTCACGCCTGTAATCCCAGCACTTTGAGAGACTGAGGCAGGTGGATCACTTGAGGCAGAAGTTCAAGACCAGCCTGACCAACATGGTGAAACTCTATCCCTACTAAAAATAAAAGCATTAGCAGGCTGTGGTGGTGGGCAACTGTGATCCCAGCTACTGGGGAGGAAGGAGAATCACTTGAGCCTGGGAGGTGGAGGTTGCAGTGAGCCAAGATTGTGCCACTGCACTCCAGCCTGGGTGACAGAGCGAAACTGTAAGAAAAAAAAAAAGAAAAAGAAAAAGAAAAAGATTATTGTATGCTATAGTACAAGAAAGCAGAATACCAGAATTAGGATGTTTCTATGAGTCCATGTTTTTTACTTTTGGCCAGACATTTGCTTGGCTAATAAAATAAGAAGTAGAAGTTATATTTTAAACATCAGAATATATGGGCTTTTTTTTTTTTTAAGGTTTCAGTATTAATGCAGTGCCCAGAATAGTTTTGATAAAACAGTAAGCACTTAATAAATTCTTGACTAATACAGTAATTAGAATCACCTTGAATATGCTGCATTTATTTACTTAATCTACTCTGCCTATTTTCACCAAGGATTTGAGTAGACTTAAAAATATACGCAATAAAAAATACCTAAAATAAATAAGTGAGAGAATTGAGATAATTAGGATAAAGGAAAAGTATGAGTAGAAAAATAATATATCTATGGTAAAATTGACATTTTGAAATGCATATGTACAGTCGCTAGAGATAGGCATCAATTGTCTTTGTGCATCCTAGTAGCCAAAGTAAAGAAGAAAACATGATCAATGACATTCAGTGTCCTTAAGATTAAAAAAAAAAAAAAGCTATTCAGAAGAATCTTAGACTTATTTGACCAACACACTTGGGAATAATTTCTGATGAGTCCTCATTTATGCAACAATCATCATCAACATTGCCAGTTTGTATGGACATGTACTGGAACACTTTGCAATGACATCTGGTAAAGGAAGGCTAACCCATGTTTCAGTAAAAATAATTCATAAAGGTCTGAAGCAACATAATTTAAGCATGTAATACTCTGACGTGGAACCTTTTACTATGTTAAAGGTAACTCTCTTTAGGATCAACAGACTGATGTGAATACTAGTCCATTTATTAGCTGTAAAACCTCAGGCAAATAACTTCACTTCTCTGTGCCTTATCTGCAAACTAAAGATAATTAATAGCTACACATGGCATTGTTATTAGCACACAATTAAGTAAATGTCTTAGCACAGTGATATGGAATAAGTGTTCAAAGCATGATTGTTTTTATTTTCATTTTCTGTTTTGGTCCAAAGAAAACATTTAGAATAACTGGAGAACTGAATATGTTCTTTGAGCATTTCTACACATTTACTAGTTCTCATAATGAGGCTATCATTGAGAAGTTATACAACAAATGGTTGAAGTTGTCATTTCTGCCAAGAACCTGCAGTGCAGATATGGAAGAGACAGAGGGTAAGGGTAAAGTCTGTTACTAAGACACATGCCTGAATGGAATGGCCATCCCACAGTTGCAGGAAAGTGGGTGAAGGTACTGCCTAGATGCTGGGACAAGATCTTCCTCAGAAAACACTTCTTCTACTGCTCCAGTATGTAGGTCACTAGTGACTAAGTCCCCAAAGTTCTGGGTTACACATCATCACCTCAAACAATTTGGCCTGGGAGTTTTCAAGGCAAAGGTTGCAAAGATTATTTATGTGGCCACTGGAATATTTCAGAAAAAGGTGCCCATAGAAAATATAATTTTAAGTAGTATAAATAACAAATTCTCTCAGATAAATGTATTGCAATTATTATGCCCTAGAAACCTAAAACTCATGAAAATATCCTGACTCTAGTGTTCTGCTTATTCATTTTAAATAATTATGAATTATTTTGAAAGGACCAAAGTGTAAACAATTTTTTTAAATATAAGACACTTTGAATGAAGAAAGGAATAAATTACAGTCTCTTGTTGTCTCGAAAAGAGTATTGCTTATTTGGTTGTTAGCTAAAGTTTGTGTCTCTATCTCCTGCCTTCTCACTGTTTTTCTTACATGTGGTTGCTTTATCCGAGGTATCTGCAGTGTAGGAAAGATGACCCATTAGAATATAAGCTTCAGGAGGATAGCATTTTTCTTGGTCTTTTTGTTGTTGTTATTGTTATTATCCCCAACAGGTTGAATTGTTCCTGGCATGTGGTAGGTAGGAACTAAGAAAACTTTGTTTTGTTTGTTTTGGTTTTTTGAGACAGGGTCTCACTCCATTGCCCAGGCTGGAGTGCAGTGGCTTGGTCTTGGTTCCCTGCAGCCTCGACCACCCGGGCTTAAGTGATCCTTCCACCTCAGCTTCCCAAGTAGCTGGGACCATAGGCATGAACCATTATACCCAGCTAATTTTTCCTTCTTATTATTTATTTATTTATTTATTTTTTTTTGTATTTTTATAGAGATGGGGTTTTGCCATGTTGCTTAGGCTGGTCTCGAACTCCTAGGCTCAAGCCATCGGCCTGCCTCAGCCTCCCAAAGTTCTAGGACTATAGGCATGAGCCACATGACCAGCCAAAAATATATAAATGAATAAGGTTGGATGCGTTGGCTCACGCCTGTAATCCCCACACTTTGGGAGGCCGAGGCAGGCAGATCACTTGAGGTGAGGAGTTCAAGACCAGCCTGGCCAACATGGTGAAACCCTGTGTCTACTAAAAATACAATTAGCTGCTTGTGGTGGCACATCCCTGTAATCCCAGCTACTCAGGAGGCTGAGGCAGGAGAATCACTTGAACTTGGGAGGCAGAGTTTTCAGTGAGAAGAGATTGTGCCTCTGAACTCCAGCCTGGGTGACAGAGTGACTCTGTCTCAAAAAAAAAGAGAAATGAATAAACTAGATCCCTTGGAGACAGAACCAGCTTCTCCCTGGATAACTCTATACATGATGGGCAAGAACTTAATGTCTCAGTATCTGTTTCCTGTGGATTTTTTTTTTTTTTGAGACAGAGTCTTACTCTTGCTAGCTAGACTGCAGTGCAGCAGTGCTATCTTGGCTCTCTGCAACCTCTGCCTCCCGGGTTCAAGCAATTCTGCCTCAGCCTCCCAAATAGCTGGGATTACAGGCATGTGCCCAGCAATTTTTTTTTTTTAGTAGATCCGGGGTTTCACCATGTTGGCCAGGCTGGTCTTGAACTCCTGACCTCGTGATCTGCCTGCCGTGGCCTCCCAAAGTGCTGGGATTATAGGCGTGAGCCACTGCGCGCAGTGTCCTGTGGAATTTTTAAGAAAATAGCGGCCCAGTACCTTAGAGTAGCTCTAGTCACTAGTTTACCTCTATGAAAAAAGTGTTTTTTTATGGTAATGAACTCTTCAAATGGACATTATTCTACCAGATCAAGGGTTATGAACATTTTTCTGGGCCATAGACACCTTTTACAGTCAATAAGCCTACAGACCCCTTCTCAAAGTAATTTTTTAATGCATGAAATATAATGCATAGACTTATAAGAGAAATTATTTAAAATAGTGAAATACAGTTATCAAAACATTAAAAAGACAAATTTGTGTTATAGTAGTATACAAGTTTTTGTTAACGCATTGAAGAAAAAGATGATATTTAAAGTGTCAGCAAGTTAGTTTTATTTTTTAAAGCATCAGCTACTGTAGCTTAGCTAAAGTAAGATTATTAAACTGTGGAGTGGTCCTTGACTCATCTCCACATACTGACTAATACGAAATTGTAGATGGGGAAAGAAATGTGGATGCTGAGGTCATCAAGGTATTACACATGACTTCACTGTCAGGTGGCTGATCAAAACGAATTTCAAAACTGCCCAATAGTTGGCTGACTTGTATTACAATAACATTTGTGGGCAGAAAGACTAGTATCATGTGAACCCTGATGTCAGTATAATAATGACTGCAATTCCAAAACAGTGATGGAATTGTCATTAGTCTTTCTCTCTATATACATACATATATAGAGAGAGAAATTTACAGCAATAATGTAATAAAAAAATATCTGAGATTTCCATTAATGATGGAGTTGTAGATTCTTCTAATATCATGGTGATACATACTTTCACACTGGAAGGAAGTAGTACATCTCAGTTAATGGTTAGCGACATAAAGATAGCAGCTTCCCTTTCCCCAGAAGATGAGAACCTCTGTACTAAACCAAAAGTTTCTTAGGACTAGGAGGCCCTGATAAATCTTTGCACTCTTAGCAGCATCATATTGTATGTCTTGTTCATCCAAGCAAAATTATTTTTTACTTACTAAATGATCTTCCCATTGGCGCCTGCTTCTACTTTTCCTGACCCATTTGGATGAGTTTGACGACAACAAAAGCCAAGGAACTGACGAA